ATCAGTTCCCGGGTACAAGATCAGGCATAATTAGCAAACAAAAAAAAAAAAAAAAATCAGCTCTTCATTTTAGTGTCTTTTTTTCACCTGCTGAGAAAAGACCAAGTGTCCCAAATACCGTGTGTGGGTGCCCCCATCTTTTCAAGGGATGGGGGAGGAGGATGGCAGCGCGGCCAGACCCCAAACGGCGGTAAGCGCACAGAGCCACGAAATGCGAGTTTTTGACTTGCCAAAGCTGCCAGATCTCGGCTCGGGGCCTTCTGCCTTAGTCCCGCTGTGCTGCGTTACGCTGAACTGGAGCTTAATGCCCAGGGCCTGAGCTGGGTCTCGTTCCTCTGGGAGCTGCGGGGGGGAACGGGAGGTTTGAGGGGTGGGAATGGGACTGGGGGCGCAAATAGTGAGCGGATGGTTAATGATCGGGAACGGGTAAAGGGGGGAAAAACAGCACGGAGGAGATGGTGCTCAGGCAGGAAAATGGAAATAATAGTTCCTCTGGTGGGGAAAGCTGGACTTTAAACAGATTGCTTTAAGAAAAAAAAAAAAAAAAGCACCGCAGCAGCATTATGCATGATTTGAAGAACAGTTCCTCTGAGTTCATTTTATTTCATAAAGTACAATATTAACATTAAATCTACATGTAATACCTAGTAGAAAATACCACTTTAAAACTTTAAGTCGTTAGTTCATGTTTTCATGGAGAGCTTAATTGGTGGTGTATTTCTCAAATCTGTGTTTTCATCACTTCTTTCCTTCCCTACCCAAAACACTCTCACTTAGCCTATTTTTCAGAAGGGATATTATTTGGTTTTATTAGGGCTTGGGGAAAAAAAAGTGTGTTAAAATCTTTTGTGGGGAAATGTGAGAGGGGGGCTCGGCGGGCCTGCGCCGAGAAGGAAACGATCGTAACGTGAAAGAAACGTCTTTGTGCTTTAGAAGGCTGAATGCAGATGGGCGCATGGCAGCGAACGGCTGGGGGCCGAGTCCGTGGCGTTAAAAATGCAGCCGGATGGGTGGATGCTGCTTGAGCAAGGAAACGCTCCCTAGGAAATAACAGGCGTTTGAGGCATGGGTGTCATACGTATGTGGGGGTTGTTACTCAGGGTACGAGCCAGATTAATGGCTTCCAGCACCGCGCAGGATGTGCTCCATCCGCAACATTGCTCAAGGCTTCAGAGCTAGGAACAGCTTTGCAAATTACGTCCTGCTCCAACAAGTTTTGGAGGACCTGAAGTAAACACGGCTCCCGTTCCTGCCTCGTGCCTGGTTGCTCTGAACGCGGCTTTTCCTGCTGCTTTTCCCGCAGCGTCTCCCTGCGCAGAACCGGGGCTGCCTTTCCCATAGGAATTTGTCTTCTGGCAGCCGCGAGGGGGTCAGAGGCGGTCGGGAGCCGAGCCCCCTCCCCGCACACCCAGGCGCCTCGTGGGCAGCGGCAGCCCTGGCAGAGGGGCAGGTTTCTGCCAAACTGCCCGTAGAATTTTGGGAAGTTCTGCTTTTGCCCGCGTCTCCCCGGCAGGACTGGAGGCCGTT